AAATAGAGGAGGTGTAAAAATGGAGTAAAAATTCTAATTTCTAAGTGTTGACAACCCTTTAACGCGCATGCGCCATATGGATTGTGCGCAGATTACAACGGACCGCGAAATACATTAATTTAATATAATTATTTACCGATATCTTAATGATAGTCGATGCTGAAAATGTTCAATTCTTCTCTGAAGACAGCTAAGCACGCTCTTTTGCATGCCAGTGTATGCAAAAGATATGCACGCGCAAAACACATCACATTTCACACAAAACTAAACACAATCTTCACTAAACAAAACTTAATACTCAAGACGAACACTTTAGTATCTTATTAACAAAAATTCAATTAAAAATGCACTAGAACAAAACAAAAATACCGACAGAATAATGAAGCCGCCTGGCTGGTGGGTGGGGCTTTGATATCGAGGGACGAACTCGGTTCACATTTTTTTATTCGTCTTTTGATATCACGCATTTTTTAATGTTCTTTTTAAATGCTATTTTAATAACTAATTACTCAATGTTTTTAAAACAAAGTTCATTTGTGTTAATGATGAATCGCTGGAAGATTTGTGAGTTTATCGAGTTTAATTAACGATCCCGTTTTTAAAGGAGTATTACCCCATTCAAAAAATTTTTTTGGAGAACTGCTCTTTTAAAATAACGTAGGTTAATGTTAGACTGATCTCTCTACAATAATTTAGTAAATTTTCCACTCGGTTTCTTAATTGTGAATTTAAAGTTAAACGTCTCAAACTAACATCACTTCATTACTCAATGTTTTTAAAACAAAGTTCATTTGTGTTAATGATGAATCGCTGGAAGATTTGTGAGTTTATCGAGTTTAATTAACGATCCCGTTTTTAAAGGAGTATTACCCCATTCAAACAAATTTTTTGGAGAACTGCTCTTTTAAAATAACGTAGGTTAATGTTAGACTGATCTCTCTACAATAATTTAGTAAATTTTACACTCGGTTTCTTAATTGTGAATTTTAAGTTAAACGTCTCAAACTAACATCACTTAGTTTTCGTTTCCGATTTTAGTTTTTTGATGATCAGTTGATAGCAGTTTGATAAAACTAGGACTATTTGACTTGTGAAATTAAAAAAAAAACTTAGGTTATTGAGAATAAGCAGTAGAAATTTTCTACTTTCAAATCAGAAACCGGCTGTTAGTCTGTAAATCGATTTAAGCATTTTGACTGCCTTGTTTATTGATTGTCTGGTAGAATTTGCATGAATGCAGTCTTATAAATCACAAACTAGTTTATTTCGTTTTTAGAAATGAAGAAGTCAATGACCGATTAAAACTTTTCCTTAGTACGTCCCAAAAACAGCTGAGTCAGGGTTGAAAACACTCATTTTTTTTCAAAAACTTTGTATTTTAATATCTCCGAAACTATTTGACCTAAACTTATATTTTTTTACATCATATTAAACACAAATAGTACTCTCTAGGAACCTCGGGAGTGTCGGTTGTTCTGTTCCACCGAGTATAAGTAACTAGTAAGGGTTGGAGCGTCTTGTGCAAAAGTATTATCGTTTTAGTTATTTCGATCGAGAAAAAATATTTATCTTATATTGTTTAAAGCAAAAATTGATTAAAGAATAGTACCCACGGCTGCATGGATTATCAGAATATATCAAATTTATTCAAACGATTTTGAACTCTACTGAGTAGTTTGATAATTTTATATAAAATGAAGAGCTCGATAGTGAAGTGGTTAGTGCGCTACGATACAGTTTCTCAATGACTGGTCAAAGGATGAGTGGCCAAAAATTTATTGCATCGAGCTCCTACGTGCTTAGAAAGACACATTAAGCCGTTGTACCCAGATGCGTCTGCAGTCGTTAATCCAATCCGCCCTGGGCCCACATGGTAGGTCATGTCTGCTCTATGGTCATGGCCCATTCTATCTATTCGACCTGATTCCTAGCAGTAGGGAGATTAAAAAGCTGATGATGTGGTGAAGAAAAAGACTAAAATAAAAGACAAAAATTACAGAAGATTCTCAATCTGAAATACTATTGCAAAAGTTTTTGAAAAACTAGTATATGATTAATTATATAGTGTCATATACTAAGGGCGGCTTGCGCATCATTTGGTCTAAACAGAATTTAGTTAAATGTGTTTATCTTGCTAAATAAGTTTTGCCTAAATACAATTAAAAAGGTCTTGCTCACGTCCGTTTGGATGGAAATTTAACTAATCGTAGTTAGGGAGTCGGTAAAGCAGTTTCTTGCGTTCCTTTTTACGTTTTCGTGCGTTGAACACTTGACTGAAAGCAAAACGGTTGCATTTCTTAAAAAAAAGTGCGTGAAATGGACCGACGAGCTTTCAACTGTCACATTGTGTTGTTATGATTTGTAAATGTTGGGCTATTTGCTGGAACAAAATTATAGTGATTTCTTTCGTTGGAAGAAACCTTCTGAAGAATTTGTCGTCCGAATACACTCCAAATAAGTCTGCACACTCAAACAATGCCCTCGATCTGTTGATACATTCTATAATCTCCTCATCGTCGTCAGAATACAATTCCCACCAATCCATCGTACAAACTACCTAACGAACTAGTGATTGCTACTAAACGTATTTAGCGACGCTAAATAGCCATCTTTGGGTATTTAACTTTGACAGTTCGTTAAACGTAAGTAGTGCCTAAATTTTTGTTGTGCAAGACGCTAATTATATTTAGCAGACTAAATGCGTTTAAGTCGCTCTTAAACTGTATTTAACGACGATGCGCAAGTCGCCCTAAGAGACACCGGCTAGTTGACATGGTTTTCTATGATGTCGATCTACCGTTACTAACTTAACAAGTTTTACTGAATACGTTTTATCACATATGGAGAAGGGCGGGAAGGCTGACGTGATCTACACGGACTTCGAAAAAGCTTTCGACCGTGTGGATCGATATACATGCATGGTGTCTTGCTCAGATGATCTGATTTCACGCAAATACTAATAGGTTCCTCAAGGCTTGTATTTAGGGCCCTTGTTCTATAATGCATATGTTTACGATATCGAGGCTTGCTTGATGTACTTTCTTAAAATTAAAACCAATTTAGACCGTTTAAAAGTTCAATCAGATTGGAATAATTTATCAAATTATTACAAAAAGAATAATATATCTGTTAGCATAGATAAATGCGAATGCATTAGTTTCAATCGTAAAAATATGTCTGTGGTATTGAATATCCAAGTCTAATCTGGTCATCCGGATATGCCTTCTATAAGAATCGATTAGAGAAACTTCAAGTGAAATTCGTGAATCACCTTTACTTCCGCTTTAGGACACCTAAAGCGGAAGTTAAGGTTGTAGGTACAGCATGTCATCATTAGATGACAGACGTAAATTGATGGATCTCTGCCTACTATACGATATAATGGGAAATCATGTGGACAGTTCTGAGCTTGTGGAAAACATACCGCTGAATATATCAGCGCTTCGCTCTCGACAACCGATACATAACCTGTTTAATATCTCTCAAACCAAAACTAATTAGACACGTAACGCGCCATTCCCGGATTCCTAATATATATAACGGCGGGTAGTCCGAATGGGCTATTACGAAGCCCAAATAGATCGTCCATATCGGAGGACTATCTTTAAAATAACACTGCAGGCGTGGTATACCAACGTGGATTTGTTCCATTTTATCACTTTTCATACGAAAATATAACGAGATGAGCGTGATGTCGTCGGATGTCTTTACTCCTCGGCGATCGGAAACAGAATGTGTGCCAAAATGGCGGCAACTTGCTTTTTATTAACGTACTGTCAAAGTCAGTGTCACCATTCTAATAAAATTGAGGGTATCGATGATCACGCTCTCTTTACAATCGAGTAATTAAGTAATCGAGTAACTAGCAATTAAAATAAAAGAAACTAAATCAAACGATCTTCGTAATGATGATGCGACACGGCCATTCTGGGAGACGGTGCGTGCTCTGCGCCAGTCGCGTTTCTGTAACAAAATACAAGAGATTTTCTGAGCTAGGTATCTGTAAACCTAGTCATTTGGGAATTTTGATTTGAACAAGATTTCGGCCATCATTTTTTTTTAAACATCAAATTCATTACCAACGGGTATTTTATCACAATTATTATAAAAACGGTAGTTAAGTTGTTTAGGAAAGGTTTAGGAAATTGTTTAGGAAAATGAGCTGTTTTATCAAGTATATTTGGTCAATGCAAATGCTCCACGCATAATTGCATTGATTATTGTACTCGTAGCAAGTGTGATGCTGTGGTCATGAGCGGTCCTGTACGCCATGATCCACAGTAGCTCAAAAGGAGATGGGGAAAGGTCGATGCTGGGGTCTAGGTCTTACATGAGACCGTGGTCCCCAGAGGCTCTAAAGGAAACAGGCAGGACGAAGCTGGGGTCTGGGCCTTATTTATGACCGTGGTCCCCAGAGGCTCTGTAAAACGACTTAAAAGTTGGGAAGTTCATAGGATGAGATTTATACAGTCTTTCACAAGAAATTTTTGATTGTTCAATTGAACTTTCATGAAAATGTTAGCTCTCTATCAAACAGCGAGAAATATAGAGTGCCTAATAATACCACTAACCATTTACTAGGCATCTAATTGATGTGCAGCGCGGTAGATTCTTTTCTCGGTCAGTCCCGACTTTAACTAAAGCAAGATTTTGAAACCAATCGAAACCTTAATAATTAGAGACCGTTTTTACTTTAAGTTTCTTTAGTAATAAGAATTTAAGAGTTGATAAATACTATCATCAAATCTTATTTACAATGAAATTATTCATAAACAACAAACTGGTTTGAGAACCTCGATTGCACCACTTAACCAGCAATGCAATCACACTTTTTCAATTTTATTTTCACTTAACTAGTGATTTTAAGAGTGTTACTCATTCGATTGCCATGAATTCTTCACGATATTAATAACTTTATAAGGGAGCACTCGACTCCAGTATCATAACAAAATGAAAACGACTCACCAAAATACTGCAAAATACTAGCAAGGGTAGCAATGATGCAGATGTCTACACGTCGTTCACTAACAATTCCAGCAGACGAGCCATCAGGTTTGCCACCGTTGCATCTTCTTAGGCTTCAGGTATCTTGAGAGTAGTGACCATCTGTTCCGCAACTGTTCTTCATATTAGGAACGCTTGGTTCTCCCCACGAAGGCTTCAAGTATTTCTTCTTGTATCGACAGGCAGAAATATTGCCAGGATCGAGTTCGGGCAGATGCAAATGTGATTCGACGACGGCACATGTGGCTTACGTGGATGAGGACTGGATGGATTACGTGGTGGGAAAGAGTTTTGATTTTGTTACCGCAACAAGATTCTCCATATCCATGACATCTGTGTATCCACTTGGTCGGTTACATCCCACTTCTGATAACGGCGGGGAGTCCGAATAGGCTATTACGAAGCCCAAATAGATCGTCCATATCGGAGGACTATCTTTAAAATAACACTGCAGGCGTGGTATACCAACGTGGATTTGTTCCATTTTATCACTTTTCATACGAAAATATAACGAGATGAGCGTGATGTCGTCGGATGTCTTTACTCCTCGGCGATCGGAAACAGAATGTGTGCCAAAATGGCGGCAACTTGCTTTTTATTAACGTACTGTCAAAGTCAGTGTCACCATTCTAATAAAATTGAGGGTATCGATGATCACGCTCTCTTTACAATCGAGTAATTAAGTAATCGAGTAACTAGCAATTAAAATAAAAGAAACTAAATCAAACGATCTTCGTAATGATGATGCGACATATATAATAATTATTTTTTTGACATAGATTTATTTAATTGCACCAAAACTGCTTTAAAGAGGCAAGCAATCTCAGCCTTAAGCTATATGGCTATTTATCAAAGATGTATAGAAGGGTAATTTAAAAATATCTGATCGTATATTTGACATTAAAATATTTTAATTTTCTTTTTCTTTACGAGTACCTACTATCTGTTACAAGTTACGTTTAATTAGTAAATAAGAAACCTATTATTTGCCTTAGTATCCATTGTTATACTTATATTAGTAGCATATTGTAACGCCGTTGGTTTCTAAGTACAAGTAAATAAATAACCAAACACGATACCAGATTTTTTTCATGTACAACAGGAATTTGAAATACGTAAGTTTCAAAAGCTTACATCAAAACTACATCATGTACACACAGCTGCACAATATGTCAAATTACCACAGTTGATTTTAAACTCTACTTTCAACTCATTAAGGCTTAAAATCGAACGGAGAAAGACAGATTTGTATTACCCGACGTGCTGTTAACTGTACCTTACTTATGAATGGATTGTCTGGAAGTCTATAAAACATTTTTAGAAATGCACTCCTTAGGTAAAATTACTTACTTGAGTGAAGAAATAGAAGTTGATCCACACGACATTGGATTTTGGATTAATTATTTATTTAAATAGGACATTTATAGTTTAAAACCTTTTATTCTGTTAATAAACAATTGTAGTAGTTTATTCTGCCTTACATTTCAGGTATGGATCTTCGGCGATGTTTGGTGTTCAGTGTGGCTAGCGGTAGACGTTTGGATGTGTACGGCGTCTATTCTCAACTTATGCGTCATCTCTCTCGATCGTTACGTGGCGGTGACGAGACCTGTCAGTTACCCGAGCATTATGAGCAGAAAGCGCGCAAAAGCGTTAATTGCCGGTCTGTGGATTTTATCATTCGTCATCTGTTTCCCACCACTAGTGTGGAAGGATAAAAAGGTGAGATTTTGTCAATCAAATACTTTAATTTCTAAATTTAATAACGCCCATAATTATAGTAGGTAGTATCTAAAGTAACTTGAATTTAAATTGCTGTACCCTTACAGGGTGTCACATGAACTGTACCTATTAACAACATCTGTATACTATGTAATATGAAAAAAAGAATATTATATTATTAGTGAGTGAGATGGAATATAACAAAAAATAGTCATAGTCATAGCAATAACAAAAATGTGTCAAGAAATATTAAGAGCGATAGTCGAAAGGATATTTTAGCACGGGTGAATAAGGCGCCGAATACTATAATGATCCCAAGAAACAATTAGGCGCTGGTTGCAGGTTATTTTAAAGCTTAGAGTAATACTATTGATTTATAATGGATTCGGTTGTCACTAGAGGTGCTACAGTTTACTTATAAAATAACCTTTACTCCTGTGGTGGTATTAGAATCGTAAATAACGCAATTATAATTTATCTACAGTTATTGCAGTAGCGATAGCTGCTTATACACTTATAACGTTAAAGCTTGTTTCGGCCTGCAACGTCAAAAGCATTTTAAAGGTCTTCATGAACTTTCTGTAACTCTTATTACTATAAATATTCTGTATTGACGAACCTTATAAATCATAAGGCTGTATTAGTTCTACAACGGAGTTAGATAAGAGTGTAGTAACACCAAACTCTACATGCGTTAACTCTTATATATAGTTAAAGTTTGTACAGCAGTTTTGTAAGATCATGATATAAAGGTTTTGGTAAGAATATAAGCTGTAGGTAACTCTTCAATGACACCGTTAAATATTTCTTACATTTAAAGTTTATGTGCTAAATATAATTGTATGAATTTCATTTTATGCATTTAATTTTACAATGAGATAAATTGATACGTAGAGACTACAAAAAAGAACAGGTGGAGTGAGATATAAAATTCAGCAACAATATCAGAATGGTTCCGTACATTTTTGATGAGGAAGACTTTGATAAAGATTTTTCGACTTTGGTAGTTTTATTTCAATAATAGCTCTGCCCACGGATCCAAGCAGAATTTCGCAGACGCTATTATTAAAAAAAATCAATAAAGATGTTATATTTGAAACTCCTATTAAATCGTCTTATTTTAATATGCATACAGTTGAAAAACTCTCTTATTCGTTACACGTTAATGAAATACACTGGTGAAATTAAGTGCAAATTAGTTCATGTAACCCACAATAATATTTATTATATTGTACTTTCTGTCACTCCATAAACAGTATAGGATGATTAGGTAATAAGAAGATTTATTATTAATTCGATATTTTTTATTCAAAAATTACTTTATTACGATATAAACTACAAATTGATATATAGTAGTAGCACAGCGTCGTCCTCTCGCGCACCGGAGTTATAACCATCCCAGCGCGAACTGGGGACTCCACTTTGGCTGATTTTGTTGAAATTTTACTATTAATTTCTGGGCACGACGTTCTATAAATTCTATGGAAAAAGAAAATAAAATTAATAATTAACAATTTAAACAGGCGTTGTATGCTGTAATTATTATTAAGTTTTACTTTATAGATTATATTTTGTACGAATACTAAACTATTCGATGAAAACTACCTAAAGATTTAGGATTTCAATAACTTCATATAGAACCCTAATCTCAATGTTTAAAGGTAAAGCTGAAAGCGTTATGTGACTCTTTTAAATCACCAAAGAACTTACAGCATTCTTGGATACCGCCGCTGTCGTTATTCGAGTATAGTATTATATTTGAAGGCAGACTGTACCTTTAGGAAAAAGTCACCATTTTTGAACACTTTCTGTCAAGATAACCTCAAATGTTAATTAATACAAATTCACTTATTTTAAAATTTAAGTACCAAAATTTACCCAATTATTGACTTAATTCTGGCTTTATTAGTGTATACGAAGACTAAAACTGATCAATCTTTGAAAATTACAATCTAAAAACTGTTTTAGGTTATTAGCACTTTTAATTATTTATTTGATTTTTTACTTAAAATCATATATTTTTGAGGGCGCGTCAAAATTGAGATGAGTAACATAATACACAATCACATTAAACTTGCAAGCGCACTTATAAGTAAACTTTAGTTACACTTAACACACTGTTAAAAAATATATTAAGAAATTATACTTACATTTCGTGATGAAAGGTAGACCGATTGAAGCACTTGTCATATTATGAAAACTTTAACACTTGACGTATTTAAGGCTGAATAGTTAAACTGTGACAAAAAAATCGCTACAAATGAGTTATAAGGTATCTAAATAATGGTTTAACTTCTTTTTGACACCGATATAAGTACCTTATAAAACTTAAGATCTCAGTAAACTCTATGATACAGGTGAAAAACAGTTTTAAACGGAAAATAATGATCTTATAACACCACTAATACACTTCTACTAAGAGTTATGTAGAACCACTTTAAGGGGTTTATACAGACTTTACCTGTATAATTTTGCGCCAAAATCCAGGTTATAAAGGTGTTATTACACTCTATAACTCTCTTATAAGATATACGTTAACTCTTTGATATCTAACCAGAACCGAAATATAGGTCTACTAAAGCTTTAGTATCCGAAAGCAGGCCTTGGCTTTCCCATCTTCTACCCATCAATTGTGTTGTTAAGTAAACTTATTGGGATAAATTTATGTCTCAACAGCCCGAAGAAAAGAATCCCCCTTGTGAGTGGACCTGTGAGCTTACCAACGACACTGGATACGTAGTCTACTCGGCACTTGGCTCCTTCTATATTCCAATGTTCGTGATGTTGTTTTTCTATTGGAGAATATATAAGGCTGCCGTAAGAACTACAAAGGCTATCAACCAAGGATTTAGAACTACTAAAGGTAAATATAGTTTTGAAAATAAACGGCAATAAGTACCAATAATATTAAAACACGCTTCGTGATTTGCTTTAGATTTACCACTTTTATGATTTTTTTCTTTATTTGTTGATCCCTTTCATTGATCAGTTCAGTTGGATAGAATAGAGTATTTCTTCCCAAAATATAATATGTGATCAACCAGTTGGTTAGATTGGAAAAAAAATGCTTCTTCGAGTTCCATTCTGCACAGCCAGTTGGTCAGTTTAGTTAGTCAGAGTGGAAAAACAAGTTTTTGATTCATTTCCTATGGTTTTCGAGTCGTAAATTAATGAATAAATGATATCTTGAGTTACCGAGCGCTGAATAAAAATAAATGCAGATTAAATGGTTTGATCATCATTAAAGTATGACTTTCAGGGGCAAGATACGATTCAAATATTATAGGTCAGGATAAATTCTCCTTGGTTTAGATTTTAGTCAGAAAAACATTTAAGCTAAATAACTAAACTAGATGAATATTGTCTGAATCTGTATTGAATGAAAAGACACATATTCATCATCATATATTCATTGTTATTTTGACTAAAATAATATTTCCAATTTAATAATTAATAAATTAATATTAATTAATAATTAATGAATTGTTTGTATCGTTTCGCCTGCAGTTGAAATCCATACTTAACATTGCTTCAAACATCGAAGCTAGGTACTCCTAAAATTCATGTCTTAATATCGTTTGCTCTTTAATTTAGAGTAAATCGTGGTACCTATTTTTGATAAAATTAATATCCGATGTGTATTGACATGGACGATTTAATTATCATAATAACCGATGTCTCAGCAAGTTTTTTTAACTTATAAATGGTTTCAAAAAATATAAACATGAGTCAGTTATTTTGAAGTGACAGGACTTCTAATCCTACATGCTGCGTATAACTATTATGTCATCGGATATTACGTACAATGCTAAATAATTGATTCAATTGCTAATTCAATAATCCTTCGTAAAAGTACAAAAATTCAAAGCCTTATAGTTTTCTGATAGCTGAAACTCAGCAACCCTCAAATATACATTGTAACATTGCCTAGTTATAACTTTAATTAAATAATTAGTTTCAAATTAATATCTCGCTTAAGGAACAAGGCTCATTAAATTTATCTTATTTTTTAATAATCAGGTAAAGGCCTAGGTAATCGGTTTGATGACAACCGTCTGACATTGAGGATACACCGAGGACGTGGTTCTGCTAGACCGCACGGTTCTCCGCTGTCGACTGCTTCTAATCATTCCACTAGCACATCACTGAGTGCATCTCCAGAAAGATTAAGAAGGTATTAAGAATATTTTTTGTTAAAACATTCTGAAATATCCAGTCAAACATGTGAGTATAGTCAATGATGCCGGTGATGTCATTAAAAACTTTTTCAATGTTATTCATCTTATATTAGATTCAGGCAATCCACCAAAATAGCCGAAAGAAATATTTTTACAAATATTAAATTTTTCGGTAAAAATGAAATCATCTGAACATTCATTAAAATATTCTATGTAGTAGCGAAAAACAAACAAGTGCTTGAAAAATTCAACAGTCCTGTTAGGTCTTGGGTAGCTCAGTGGTTAGAGCAGTCGCACGGATTGCGAAAAGTCATGGGTTCGAGTCCCATCCCAGAGAGCCGGGGACAAATTGATTTTTGGAGAATTTTTCAGTATAGTATTGTGTTTGCAAAATAATAATAAAGAAATTAATTTTCAAAATGAAAGTTTTGAAATTTTTTACTCTGTGGTTTTTTTAAATTTTGAACGAAGACAAATAAATAAAGAATAACTCGAAAGTTAAAAGCAGATGGTCTTTTATTTCCTAGAAAAATATATGAAACCTATATATCTGAATATTTTGTATTCTTTCAGACACTCTAGCGCCAGGCGTGCGCATGAGAAAGTTAAAATATCCGTATCCTACCCATCTTCTGAGCAAATCTGTCCAGTAATAGAAAACTCCAGGTCTCCTAGTAGATCACCAAGTCCAAGTCTTTACGCTGTTCATTATGAAAGGGATGGGCGGGAACTGACTGAGAGTAGATTGAGAGTCAAACCACCCCATCATCTAGCACCAGGCCCTCTTTATGATGAGTATGATGATAAACCAAGGGCGACTAGAAGAATGGGCAAGAGAAATATAAAAGCTCAGGTAATTTTTTTTTGTATATATTAATAGTGAGTTAGAAGATAAAACAAAATAATCAACGAATGGTCTCGCATCTGACAAATAGGATTCGACATCCACCGCGATAATTTATGAAACACAAAAAAAAATCAATCGAAGTAGGCTGGCCATGACGCACCACATGGGTTCAGCGCCAGGTGTTAACTACTGCAGATACCACAAAGACCAATAGCTTAACGTGCCTTGCCTAACCTAACGTTTGAGCTCGAGATTTCAAATTTTTGATCATCCAAGCTATGACCGGCCTTTGAGAAAATCTCTTAATAACTATCGTAGCGCGCCGACCATTTCATTATCGAGCTCTTCATACTCTATAAAATTGTCAAACTTCTCAGCAGAGTTCAAAATCGTTTGAAGAAATTTGACATATTGTGATAACCCATGCACCCAGGTGTGTACTTATCGCCTTTAATCAATTTTTGGTAATTACAATGAAAAATAAATATTTTGTTTTTGTGTTTATGTTTCATCGGCATTTGAGAAAGTCGCCTAACTTTTAAATCGAATAACGAACGTGCTATCGAACGTCTTCCTCGTGAAATAAGGTTCAATAAAAGAGAATCGGTGACACAAGCACAACTGTGACTTCTTTTTAATCGACTTCAAAATAAAAAATGAGGAGATTATATATTCGACGGCGATGTAAGAATAGAGAAAGGAAAACTGAATTACACCCGGTTTCTGAATTGAGAATTTAAAATTAAGCTCGTCTCGATCGTTTTTTAATGATCTCTTGATAGCAGTTTGATTAAACTAAGACTGTGTGCCTTGTAAAAAAAAATTAGTTATTGAAAATTATCAGTTAAGACTTTGTACTTTTCTCAATTCAGAAACCGGTTGTTATTCTATCTTCAATCCTATTGATCTGTATAATAGCCGAAGTTATACTATTCCTCAAAGTATTTGAGTATGTAATTAAATAGATTAGTGTTTTCTAGGCCAGTTGATTGATAATAGCAATCTTTCAGGTTAAACGTTTCCGAATGGAGACTAAGGCAGCTAAAACCCTGGGCATAATCGTGGGAGGTTTCGTGTTTTGCTGGCTGCCATTCTTCAGTGTATACGTCGTAAGAGCCTTCTGTGGGGAATGCGTTACTCCTATAGTCTTCTCAGTACTCTTCTGGTTGGGTTACTGCAACTCTGCCATTAATCCACTCATTTACGCGTTATTCTCCAAAGATTTTAGGTAAGTCAAATGAATATATCACTTTGCTGGCATATTGCCACAATTTTGGCTAATGCGTTAAGGAGGATTCAGAAAAGGCATGAAATAGTTTATTTGACAGACATCCAGATACGTCGATTAAGGTTTCATGACAACTTCAAAATTAAATGAATTTTTAAAAATTTTAAAACTTGAATCGGTAATATTTATTTAAACTAATGATAATATTAATGGACATTTGGACGACAATACGATGGTAATATTTGCTACTTGGTACTCGGCCGCCTAATTTTCTAGCCTATTATATCTTAGCGATTTCGTTTCATTTTACCGCTTTGAACGAACGAATAATAAAGAATGTGTTAACAATTTAGTCATTTTTTTATATATAATAAAAGTAAAGTATGATCTTAACACCTAAATATGAATATCGAATGAAAGGGCTTGACTACTGGATACATTCCATTGCCGGCTTTCAAATAAAAGCGTTTAACTTAAAATTTCATTATAACTATATATATTCTTTAATCATAAATGGGTCATAATTTTAACAAGATATATAAATAGAATTTTGTAATTTCAGGTTTGCATTTAAAAGAATCATCTGCAAATGTTTCTGTGGTGGAGGGGGTGTGAGAAGAGAGAGTGATGAAGGATCAGCTCGACGCGCCAATCACAAGCCGCAACATTCGCACTCGCTGGATGAACATGATACAGGGCACACGCATACCACCACTGCTAGTGAGAGGTAAATACACATATATACTTACACTAGCTGTAACCCACACTTGCTTGCTGTTATGACGTCTTAAGATAATATTAATAAAAAATCTGCCAGTGAGCATCCACTTTTATAAATTATCATCATTAGCTTATCAACGTCCTCTGCTGAAGCATAGACCTTATACACATATTAAATATTTAATGTAAATCAAAGCAAAACAAAATATGTTTCAATTAAATGATCACCGGGTCTACGTTTCACATTTTCATATCATTTTAGCCTGCTTTATCTTATAAATATCCGAATCTGAAAAAAAAATTCACTCAAGTGTTCGAATTCACGTAATTTATATTACTGCAATTATATTACCACAATAAATAAAACTAGTGCATCAAGCATTTTATCACATCTCTTGCTAAGTTATTTGCTTACCTCAAAAATTATATCAAATATACATATGATAAATAATATTATTTTTAAAGTATGTCTTAAATCTGGACATATACTAAAAATACTCGTAAAAATAAAAAGGATCGCAATCCTAAAGAATTATTTTATTTTCTATTGATATTTTTTTGGAAATTAAATTATATTTTCACGTCTAAATCAAAACAACGTAGCCGTAGTATGAATCAGCCTTTTTATTTATTTACTTAGATAGCTTATTTACTAAGATAATAATACTTCAAGGATCTAAAAGAGATGAAAAAATGATAAAAATGACGCTGATAATTACTGTGCCATTTACCTCTATTTTAATAGACTATTTGATGCATTGTATTTGTCATTGATTAAATATACTGGTTAATTCATGCGTTTCTTTTAAAAGTTTACTATATCAAAAAATTTAATATTCTATGATAAGTCGAATGTGTATTTGTATGAGCAAGTCCAATATCCCCGGACCAAAAAACTCATTTACATATACTACTTACTGGTTTTATATTTTTTTCGAAGCATTTGCTCGTATGTTAATATAAGACCAGAAATCAATGATTAAACTTTATATTGTTTTGGAACTAAAACAGCGAATGTCATTATTCGACCATGTCGTAAGAAAATGCCTTCATTATTTAGGTCGGATGTTACTCATTATTCAGAATGTATATATAAGTTCGTTGGTCTTTTAGGAATACACAAGAACTTGTATAGAAAAAATAATCACAATTAAATAGTCATTCGACTCACCTAAAGAATTTTTATCAAGGAGAAGTTTTTTGTATGATGGTTGATTCTTTATTTAAATTATCTTTAACCAAGCATAAAGTATATATATATTAATCGATAGAGGGTAAATAAACCTTACTCATCGTCATTTTATTTTATTTTTAAGCGCCGCCAAAATGTTTATTTTCTGATTTGAACATAATTTACCCCCGGTTTCAATAACCAAAAAACTATCCGTTTTTGCTACCATCCGTAGCATTTCCTACCAATGGTAGCAAAAAAGTATTTCAATAACATACCATTGCTAGGTAAAGCTACTGACGGTGTGCAACTAACGGATTAAACTGATACTGATAACCGTTCGTAGGCAAAATGTATAAAAATGGAGCAAAAAAGTGTTTCAATAAAAAAATCTATCCGTCGGTAGAGCTGTCAAACTTACTATCCGTAGCTTATCTGTCAAATTTGCCTACCAGCCATTTTATCGTAAAAATATTTAGAAATAACACGTTTTCCCTTGTTTATAAATAGAAAAATGACAGTTTTTCATTAAAAAATTAATATTGTAGAAGAGTTTAATGTGTTTTGTGGTTCCAATTAGAAGAATTTAAGTTGTTATCATGCCAATGTTTGTAAACAAAAAGTGGATACACTAATAATTTTTTGAGGTCAGTACCAGCCCTGTCATAACTATGAAGTAAAACAGCACTATCAGAAGATTAATATTTCTCTTGCCACACATGTTTTTCTTGTAACTATCTGGCACCAACCTCAAAAAAAATGGTGTATCCATTTTTTGTGTTTCGGTTTTATTGAAAATAAAAATTTATGGTATTATTTCTCTCTTTTCAGTCGTTTATTTTTATTACGATTTATCGTCGGTTTAATTTTTTTTAGTTGTATTTCTATTTTGTCCTTTTTTAATAATAGAATCAATATATTTTACTTACTGGTCAAAAAGCAGAGGCCTACCCTCTAAAACTCAGCGATGTCCCTCACTGCGAGGGAACAGCGCACGGTAATGGTCCCCAACGGGACCACTTCCCCGCAGTTCTAACCTTACCTTACCTACTGTTCTAATAACAGTTCATTTATTCACCATATATCATTTCTCTTTTGTTTTTCCCAAGTTAAAAAATAGTTAATCAAACAAAAAAGTATCATTTCAATCCAATGTCTAATTTCCAAGAATTTAATTGTCAAACATGTAGACACACATAAATCCATTTTATACATCTACAGAATATAGCACACGTGTTTAGAAGCGCATATAAACTAACATAATATGAATATTGCGCCATATTCCATTACATATAGGTCAAATTGATTAACTATTTATTTTAAGGTTAGTTATAAACGTATAGATTAAATTGAAAACTTTTTTACGACAGTTAATTATTTATTAGTTTATATCTTAAAACTACTGAACCGATTTTGATAAAACGTGTAGTCTACTCTAAGTTGAAGAAGCAGATACAGACCAACATATATGAAAACTACGCCATAGCAACGAACTACATACATTCACTTCGAATTGATAACCTCCTTTTTTGAAATCAGTTAAAAATAAAATCACATCACATCACCAGCCCTTTAACGTCCCCACTGCAGGGGCTCAGGCCTTCCTTATGGATGGTTAAAGAGGATGGGCCATGACCCTCCACGCTGGCCCAATGCGGATTGGAGGGTATTAACGACTGCAAATGCAGCCGGGACCAACGGCTTAACGTGCCTTCCGAAGCACGGAGTAGCTAGAGATAATATTTTTTTTGGTCACCCATCCCGTGACCGACCCTTGCGAAAGTTGCTTAACGACTACGATCGCGGGCCGCGGCGCTTATCCACTACGCCACCGAGCTAAAAATAAAATATAATTAAGTTCTTCTTCTTCTTCTTCTTTTTAAATAATGGCTTATCTGCGCATTTCGCACAATTCTGCCAATGTCAAGTAAATAAATTAATTTTTACATGTAAAATGAAAATGAAATGAATGAAAGATGGCGATGATACCTACTAAAAGATCTATAATTAAGTTAATCCTAAGACACCTTTCTTTTGCATTGATTGACGTCAATGTTGACAGCTGTTGACAAAGTGGTTTGTAAAGGAAAAATATTTATTTTTTACTATTTTTCTCGTAATTTTACGTTTTTTCTCTCCACATGAACCTTTCTTAGACTTTAGGAAACACAAAAGAAATCAGCCAAATCGGTTCAGCCGTTTTTAGTTTTGCACTTAGCAACACATTTAACGATTCATTTTTGTGAATAAAAATCAATAGAGATGGATAAAATCTATAATTTTACCCTCAAATTAATTATATAATGAAGCAAGAAATTACTTACACGACGTACACGTTTTGATTTGTTATGTATATTTTTTTGTTTCAGGTGACGACAAACTATGCGGCGGCAAAACCCTCAATTCCAAACGACCGTCGCATGTGTCTAGCAAATAATAAATAGAGACGTGCGGAAAATAGCACTTCTAAAAAATAGCGTTATACATAATAACGTTACGCTATTTAGATGAACTCTGACGCTATTAGTCTTGATATAACCAAAATTCGTTATTAATGAAAATTATGATTGTTTAAATTTCCAAACAAAACTAGATAGAACGAACAAAGCAATATTAGATTAAAACAATAGAACCCTAAACACCAACAACAAAGTAAATTCTAATTACCAATAATGAAGTTAATTCAGAGAACACTCATATTAACACGTAGCTATATATGATTTTTTTATTTGAATACAGTACCTCACTTGGTGTCGTAAGTTGCAAATATGAATGAATCTAGAAGTTTAGTGTATTTATTATATAGAGTTAAGAACTAATTAAGTTGGTGTAAAATATATAAGTGGAATTATTTCTTGAAAAGACTGTCTGATCAAATTAATGTATATTATTAGATAGCTAAATGTTTTCATAGTAACTAAATTAATATAGTACCTAGATACTTACCTTCGTAAATATAAAGTATAATTATTATGATAAAATTCCGTATTAACTTTATAAATATTGTAACTAATCCTTAACTGTAACTAATACGTTGTACCAAGAGAAATAATAATTGTAACTAACAGAAAATATAGCTTGATACTTAAATAATATTTATTATATCAAAAACTCCCTGTACTTTTTAAACTCATATTTTTAATTTTATCTTCCAAAAAATTTCCATATACAAAGTTCACTAAAACAATATGTCAGAATAGGGATGGCGACCAATTTTTGTTTGTTTCCGTCAGGTAGATTGCTTAATATCAAACACGTATTTTTTTACTTTTTTTCATAGTCATTAAATTACGGCGATACATTGAGTTAAAATGACACATGACGTCACGCTTCTGTACATCTTCTAAAATACTGTGACGTAGCGAGCCCCCACTCTTCAACTTTAATAAACAAGTTATTTCTTGTGAAATTACAGTAAATTAAATACGTACCTAATATTTTTCTATTATCGGACTTGTCAGTCAGATAATCGACGGACTAAATTGATTTATTTTTTCGCAGTCGTCAACCCTATTATGATCAACAAAATATCAAAAAAGTGACGCGAATATGACAACGACTTCCTTAAATCATTTATTATACAGTGCTAGCATATATAACATTTGGCACTCAAATAAATCTCCTGATATTTGAAACAATATGAAATTTTCAGAGTACATTATTTTCAATCTTCCTCTCTTAAATTACTTGTTCCTATGGAATATTATCAGAATTTATTGCTTATTTTCAAAAGTTGAATCTATTGAATAAACAAGCTTTAATTATCATTTACGTTTATTATATAAAATAATAAATCGAAGCATTCGCTTTACTATATTACTAAATTTTAAAGAAAATAATGCTAATAAGCGATTTTTATTATTCATTGTCATAATGTACAGGAAGCTTGCAATCAGTGCACTTTTTTCCTGCGGCTTAGTATCGATAATAAAACCTATTTACGGGGATATTATTTTATATTTCAATATCATTATAAATAATGTAACATTCATAATATTTTTATGTTTATTTTAATAGTTGTGAGCACACTGTAGGCTTATTAATAAAACTCAGTCATCAACATCCATATAGTATGGGATATCATAAGTAGTAACGTCTTTACATCTTTTTCTTCTTCGTCTCTTACGTTAGTAACATAACTTATTATTAAATATGTGCGCTGATTACGCACTTTTCCAGTATCATATTCAATAGTTAGACTTTGCTTTTATGAATAAACTAACTATTTGCATATTCTTGAGTTATTATTCGTTTCCTAATAACCAAAAAGTCTTCTCACTTATGTCCTTTACGTACAATTTGACAACTATCAGAACCTCTAACGTGTGATATTAGCATATTTTTCGAAATTTCTGTTTAAGAGTTAGAAATTTTTCAACGATGGATTGCTGAAAGAACATGAATATTTTTTTACAATAATAAAAAGTGAATAAACTATTGTTTCTAATAAGTATAGTTATCCAAAGATCTTGATTCGTTTCTTATCAAAGATTTGCTTTTATTTATTGTAAAAAACTATTTTAATGGAATGAAAGGTGGTTGACAGTGCCTATTTTGTATAAAAATATATTAAATCAATTATCTGGTTCGACTTTGCTTTTAAGTTATAATGATAGATGCGCCAGTATTTAAAAAAGTATTTTTCCGAATCAAACTACCTAGATGTCGCTACGTACTTTGAAACTTGTGTAATGTCCAAGCAAAATTCAGTTTTTATTATGTCACGTATACAGGAACAAAAATGACTCTTTTTGTCCATTTTGATGTCATTTTTTCCCGAACCTTTAGAAATATATCGAACAGAGTATCGACATCTCCATTTATATTTATTTTAGTAGTACCTTTTTATGAATACATTTGCATTGAAGCAAAATCTAATCAGAGTCTCTGAAAAATTAATACTAGATTTCAATGTAGGTGGATGAATAACTTTGGCATCGAGACTCTTGGTTTAATATAGATATGCATAAAATTCAGATAAACAATAAAGTCATCGATATGGTATTTGCAATAGAAAAGATCTCATAACGCCTTCTTTAACAAACTCTCGTAAATCAAGCAATTTTGGCACCGAATAATAGTAAGTATTTTAGGTGTTAATAAAGACATATTTTTATTATTCCTTTCGTATTATAAAAATTATTCTTTTATGTCATAGCTTTTAAATATTTGTTTACTTTAAATATGATATAAAATTACGCAATTTAAAGATCTCAACGTTCCTCAAATTCTATTGTGTATTTGATGTTTTAAAATTAATACTCTTCGTTAGTAAAATGTTGTAACTGTATGTGTAAGCGATATAAATATTATTGTGTATAAATATATGAGATGTTACCTACAAGTTGTTTCATTTATTAAGGATTATGCAAAAATTAAGAACCCGAAATCTTTACACTCCATAAATTATACTTCTTATTTGTCAAATGAATTATATATAGAGAGAATACTTATTAAAATAATAAACTCCTTTATCAAGTTTTTTATCTAACGTTATATTATATTGATAATAGTCAATTTTGTTTTTTATAAGTTGTCTTATTTTCTTTACAACTTTATAAATCGTTTATGTAGATATAATTTTTCTTAAGTCCATTAAAAACGTTTTTGTAAATAAATATTTTATTTCGAACAATTAAATTAAACTAGTGTAAAGAAGTAAAGTAAACTAACTAATTTGTAACGTAAAAGTATTATTAAAATGTAAACATATCACGGACATGGATGGACATGGATACTATACGTTCCTGTTTTTACGATTATATTATATTCCAAAAGTAGTTAGTAATAACTAAATTAAATGATTGATTACAAATTTATCACTAATTTTTCGAGTAAATATTGTTAAAAATGTAACTTTAACAGACCCGTTATTAGTGATAGCCGGAATCGTTGAAATAACGATTCCGTTGAAATAACGATTCTGATTAAGATTTTAAGATGTGCAACATTATTCTATTCATTCACTCAAAACATGTCATGTCAAAATTATTTTTGTTTAGTTTGCCGATCGGGTTTGTGAAAGGATCTCGTTTATATCGTAAATTTAAAGTAACCGGAGTATTTATATTTAATAACAAGTGAAAGATAGTTTCCATTACTAAACGCTGCTTAAAATAAATATGAGTGATATTAAGTTGTTTGGAGGTGTTGAAGGGTGAGTGAAATGAAAAATAATGTTAATTAGTATGATTTTTTTCACACAATACCTATTTGAAAGTGGAAAAGACTCGCCTTGAAGTATGCCTAGACATTTCATAACATTCATAATTAGTGAATTCAATAGTAAGTACTAGGTACTGTATTAATTTTTTTGATGTGAATTGTGAATTTGTTCAAATTATGCGTATACATATTTTAATTATTATTACATATAATTATTTCAGACACGAAATCATTGGCAAAAAGATTATATAAATGTCAATGACAAGTAACATCACCTCCAACGTTTTTTAAATATTATGTCAATAAAACATATTGACTATCATTAACATCTGCTTATTTTTTCTCAATAACGACCAACTGTTAATAAACATATTAATACACTGTTTTAGTAGGTTTTTTCATAATATTAAAACGTTATATATTCTGAATCGATTAAATAAATAAATAAAAATCCTTTACACGTTTTACCTTCACCAATAGCAAAGCCTACATCGAATGGCTTGGCCGACACACCGCCAAAAGTATTAGGTAAGCTAAATTTAACCTAAAGTTAAAAACATTAAGTCTTAATTCTGGATACATTGGTCTGACATAAAGAATTTGAGCTATGCAATTGTTGTTGTCCTTGATATTTAGAAGTTATGTTTGTCAGTTGATTTGAATTTAATTAAAGTTGATTTAATACAATTTGTAAATGATGCAGTACTCAGTAAAAATAGAGATAGGAAAAGTAACAAGCCTGGATAAAAATACACAGTTCCATTAATTATAAAAGTAAATTAAGAAATACACATTTATATTAACAATAAATAAAATTGACATTTGTAGGAAATCAAAAAAGTTAAATCTACAAAGTTAGGTCCACAAATATAACTTAAAACAAACCAAACCTAAAATCATTACTTTTGTAAACAGAAGTGCAACAGAATTGCACGTATTGTTAATAATGCATAATACATTTATAAAAGACTGTTTCATCTGCGTCATATAAGTCGTACGATTGCTTATGTTATTCCTTTAAATGAAAAAAAATCACATAAGAAAATACCTACAACCCTTCATAAAAAAAATCTTTTTAAGAAGTAGACACATTTTCCATTATACATAAATATGATAGATTGCTAAAAAGCGTTAATGCTTTTTACTCACGTTTCTCAAGTAATTAACCATTTTATTTCAAATAAAATACTCGTACCATTGAAATTATCATTATAGTTAATTATTCATAAAATTCTAATTGTTCTAATAGAAATCTTAAAGAACAACGATCTAATAGTATAGATCGTTTTTTTTATTTATAAAGAAATCAGAAATATTTCATGTACATACATTATTAAAATATAAAGAAAGAAATAATAAGTAAATGATACCTTTTTATTAACTAACATTAAGACGTTATGCTAATTTATCGTAAACAAGTGTGCTAGTGAAGTGAAAGGTTGCGCGGAATAAAAAGGTGATTGACTGACACATGGCACGTAGCCAATAAGGTAAATATGCAATGCCTATTACAAAAGTTTAGTAAAAAGGTGTAAAAACTACATTTTATTTTATGTGGAATAAAAAACAATTAGCACACAAACAACCAAATAAAAATTACTAGGATGCATAATCGGAATTCAAGACAGAGTACAAACATCTATGAATAATTTTCCTAAACTTGGTTTGCTATATCTATATGTTTCTCTTCCTCCTATACTAGCCCAAAACTAAGTCTTCCATGTGTTCCATATTGAACGATTTTTTACTTTTTGTATACACTTTCTTTCTCTCACTGTCCTTAAATCGTTTTTCCATCGTAGATTGCCTGCATTCGTTTCTTTTTTAGTGTTGATTTCCATTCTAGTAACTTCCTATCCTTCATTAAGTCGACACCCTAGGTATACTAGGTACACTTGTACTTTTTCTTCTAGAAGAAATTTCCTGTTATCTCAATCAGATGTATTTTGGAATTCCTTATTTTGGATATAGAACGAAATGGCCGCCATAGCTTTTAGTGGGTTTATAATTTATGAATAATTAAATCAAGAATATTATTAATAAAACATACACAATTTTATAAATTAAGTTGATGAATGTCTGTTACAGCACTATCCATTACGCATGACATAAAAGAGATTTTATTCAAACATACTCAAAAGGTAAACCAATACAATATCGATTTTAATAAAAACAACATAAACAACAACGCTTCCATCTTTAAACTATTCGTCGGTCGCATTTTCACTAAGCTATTGATAACCTTAAACTGTTATTTTACCATTTGTTACTTCTAAATATAACATAACATTATTCTTATTTACAGTTTTTATATATTTTAAGCATCGAACATTTCCCATGTCCTTGTTTCCCAAAGTAGGTCGATAATACTTATGTTTGTTGATTAAGGTTATTTCCCGTTTCGCCCGCATTTTTTACAGATTAGGTTCCACCAACTAATAAATTCATACCTAGAAGTTTTTTTGTTCCGTTTGGTGATCATAATTTTTTATTACAATAAAAAGCTAGTAATTCCTTCCCAGATAGTACGAAATAGTGGTACTATTTGATCGAGAATGTATTATTTGCTAATGCGACATAATTTAAAAAAAAATTTTGGCAACTTGGATTTTTGAACCGCCTTTGGATATATATAAAACAAATTCTTATCAGTGTTATGCTTTATTTTGAGCTTACACGCTTAAGATTTCTTTGCAATAATTCTGTATCTGTAGTCTTACAATATTTTAAGTATATCATACAAGTAAATCTTTCCATTGTTAAACATTTAATATGATTTAAAAGAAAACAAACATATTTATGCAATTTTATAATTCCATTGTAAGCCTTATCAATCTTATCTTTTCGTATTTCACGAATCTTGAACTTGGCATTGGTTAATATATGGTTTTTATCGATCAAAGAATTACTTTTATAGATAAAATTTTATTCTATATCAATCTGATAAAACTATTTATCTTTAATTTATTTTTAAGCGATTCTTCAATTTCATATTGATAGATAGATAGATAGACTGAGACATACATATATCGGTGGTGTGTACCAATTCCACGAGAACACTGAAAACAAAATAGCTAACGAACCTAAAAGATTTTTATTTACCATTAGTAAAAGGCTAGTATGAAAATAATAACAACATAGAGTATCTAATATCTACCTTATCTTAGTGGGTGGTCCCTTTAATATATTTTGCGAAAACTACCTAAACACTTCATATTGATGTGTACTGACAATTATTGATAAAGGAAATTATTATGGCAAAGCGCTCCAAACAATAGCATTTAAAATATACAGCACTAATGAAATGATAAACAATTTAAGAAAATACGCTTAATTTATAAAGTTCTGACACAAAGTTTGATTTGAAAGCGAAAAAGATTTATTTGATATTACATACTTACGTTTACTGAAATATCAAGGCTTCTTGTGTACAGAGAATCTTCATTTTAGTATGAAAGCAAACAAGACCGGGAGACCTATTTGGAGGTTAATGTATATCGACATTTATCTAAATATTACAATCTTTTCATTTACAGAGGTGCAACACATTCCAATCTCATAATTTGTGATGGCACGGGCAAAGTGGTTGGTACGGCAAAAGGACAGGGTACAAACCATTGGACTCTTGGCATTGATGGCTGTGCTGACAGAATATTAGAAATGGTTCGCGAGGCTAAGGAGAACGCTGGCATACCACAAGACAAACCCTTGGATTCTTTGGTTAGATATTAATAAAATTGCAGAAATAGCTATTGAAAGTAAAAACAACTTAAAACATTTATACGGCTTCAACTATTTTAAAGAGGTTCTTTTAATGCAGCATAATTTCGTTATTGTTCAATTGAGTGAAACGCCCCATATTATGCAAACAAGCACGTCGAATTTATATCGACGCTTGATGAGCTCAGTGCTATTCTTTTGAATATTGTAATCGTTTTTTAAAACCATGATGATATTCTTTTCGGTTTTGTTGTTAAATTGAAATGATTTTTTGTATATATTTGAAGCTTTGATGAATAATTACCCAATTAGTGTGAGACATTTTTAATCATGTGGTAATTTTCTAGTTATCTCATGTGGACGGTTGTAAGGTTGAATATTTTAAGCGGTATAGTGATTAATATTGAGTATCTTACAAATTTTGAACAACCAAAATTTACAGATGCAAATATGAAATGGCCCTAGGATCAATCAGCGTTTCAATTGCCGATATATATTTAAAATTCAGTTACTAAATAGTTTGCGTGATTAAGAACTGGGTATAAATAGTACCTGTTACACAAGGTTGTATTGATTTACTTCAATTATAAATGACATGACTCGTTCCCTAGGGTTTGACGTTATCTGGGTGCGAGCAGGAGAGCAGCAACGCCGAGTTGGCAACGTGTGTGAAAAAGAAAAATGGCAATTGCGCTCGCGCAATCTACGTGGCGTCGGATACGGCAGGATCTTTATTTACTGGGGCACCGGGGGGAGGGATGGTGGTAATTGCTGGTAAGGAAGAATTATGGATTATTAAAAAAGTTAAGACGTAATTTATTTGACTCTTGAAGAGGAATTGGATAGTGGTTAGATCAGTTCTTAATAGATCATAGGGGTTGACAATAATGAAAAAGTTAGTAACCACTGGTTTTAAACAAGAATTAATAGAAGAACAAAGTATTTGGAACAAATACCACTAGTCGGAAGTAATTCAACGAACCTTGACATTCATATTAACAAACAAATTAATTTTTGTTAAGCGACATGAATAATTAAAACTTACGCAACACGTATGATGTAGCAGATAGCGTAATATTAATATAATATTTGTAGTTAATAGCTATTTTTTCGTGATATGTAATAAAGAACTAAATAATGTCATTATTTGCAAATCGCATAATCACAATGAGGTGATATATCAGTTCGTTGAGGTCGCAGATAAACATCTCACAAAACATTTCTTTGTAAAACAAAAAATCCTAAACATCAAAGCCTCATCTCTAACAAGGTCTCCCAGCGTAGATTTGCGAACTGATGGCATGGTGTTAGACTTTCCGACTTTCACAAGTGCTTGTAACAGCGTAGACTGAATAAAGATATAGAATTTGAATTTGACATCTAGCCAATATAAATAGGTTGCATTCAAAATATACTTATAATATCATTCGTCATCATACACTATTGTCAAATAATGTAACTTTCATATTATCCAATCGTAGAGTAATACAATTTAATGACGCAACATAAAGAAAACTGTAGATATTTTGGTTAGGTATAATGTGTGTATTGATCAACTTTTGTTTTTTACAAAGTAAACCCACGATACCATAATCTTTGGGTTATTAATCTTTACAAAACTTAAGGTCGGTGCAAATGTGACGAAAGCTGTGTCAATATTTTCAAGAAAGTATATCTTAATACACGATAGTCCATCTGTAGTGTACAAGGTTAAATGTCATGTCATATACAATATAGGTATTTAAGTTCTGGAGTTCCGTAACATTTTACTTCTTATAATAACCTCATAATAAAATCATCAGAGGCTAGTTTTCAAACTCTATCAGGGCTTCCTCAATAAAATTATTAAATGTGTCAATATGTGTTCCATGAGTTTATATTCTATTGGTATTTAGCGTCTAGCGCCTATTGAAATATTGTTCATGAAGTCGTTATCCAATGAATGTAAATATTGGTTTGACAATGACATTTGTACCAGGAGGATGCCAAAAGTAGGTCATGATTATTTTGAAATCAGAACAGCGCTGTGTAGTAGTTCTCTTAACTTGAAGATAACCTTTCAACTTATCATTGCGTTTGAATACCGGCGTTGTTTGATAGTCACTTTATTCCCGATTATCATAAAAATATATTAACATAAATCAAATGATTAATTACAAGGAAAATTGGTACGTCATTAACTCGCAGAATGTCTCAATTACGATTTCGATACATAACTGTAATTTAAAAAAAAAATCTTATATTACATTAATATAAAAATATACGTTATTTTAATTTTATATAGGATTCAAATGTTAATAATGATATGTACATCACCAAGATAACGTCTATGCGTGTAGAATCATCTTGTGACATCATAGTCTCATGAACATTTATTTTTTCAAAATCATCAGTAATTTTTCTTTTGTTACAATTAAAAAGATCGTAGTGGTTTTAAATCAAATTTTACTGTGTCCGTGTAGTTCGACAGCGTAGTGGATAAGCGCTGTGGCCCGCGATCGTTGTTGTTAAGCAATTTGCGCAAGGATAGATCACGGGATGGGTGACCAAAAATCATTATTATATCGAGCTACACCGTGGTTCGGAAGACACGCTAAGCCTATGGTCGCGGCTACATTCGCAGTTGTTAATATCCTCTAATCTGCATTGAGAATTTTTGCGTGTAGGGTCATGGTCCATCCTCCTTAACCATCAATCATAAGGAAGGCCTTAACCCCTATTGTGAGGACGTAAAAGGGTTGATAATGATGATGATGACTGTGTAGGTACTGGATCTAACGCGTTGTTGAGAACACCAGAAGGTGAACAACATGGCTGCGGAGGTTGGGGTTTCTTATTAGGCGACGAAGGGAGTGGTAAGTCACTCAGCACTAATACCTGCATTGTTTTCAGCAGTTCATATTTACAATAAATATTTTGTAATTAGATAGGAAAAGGAAATATTTCATGAGACACAATTTTACATTAAAAGAACGAAAAAGCTTTTACTCGGGTGCCTACAAAGATTTCGGAATAATCTATTAATAAATTATTATGACTTTAAGTGTTATTATGTATATGAAGTGTATCTCGATTTACCTTTATTATAAAATTGCATTAAAAGGACAAATACATATTAAGTACTCTTTTTACAATTTATAGCATACTGGATAGCCCATCGTGCAGTAAAAGCTGTATTCGATGACATAGATGGATTGAACCCATCGCCATATTCAATTCACAATGTCTGGGAAGTGATCAGAGAGCACTTCAACGCGGACACTAGAGCTGATCTCCTTCCACATGCTTATAAACATTTTGACAAGCCTCTTTTCGCTGGTAAGACCCTTACTGTGTTGTAGTAATATCCAATATTTTATCAAAATATAGAATGGAATAATTGCCTTATATTGTAAATGTGAGATAATTAGGATCTGTGACTGGAATGAAACGAAACTATATCAACCAACGTTCAAACAATATGATCATGTTGGCAATCAATCATTTATTTAATCCTTAAAATGGAAAATGCATATAACTTCCTTATCTCTTGTAAAGAAATAAAATTTAATTCAATGTAACTTTGTTTATTTGTTTTATCTAAACTGTACACATTTAGGTTTTGTACGTCTTATCTTTCTCTGTTTATAAATAATAAACTACTAAGAAAAATAGGTACATTGAATGTGATGTCTTTGCCAAGATCGTCAAACTCACTTCAGTTCCAGTCGGCTGATGTCGATGACCGCCTTTGTTATTTTGTTTCATATTATGCAAATATAGAGCTGTTATCTGAGAGAACGAATGTGGCATGAATCAATGGTGAAGCTACAAAAAGTAATTAGCATTTCATCACTTTAAATACATTTTAGGTGTTACAGTAAAATTGGCAAAGTTGGCATATCAAGGGGATCAGCTTTCAAGTCATATATTTGCTGAAGCTGGACAAACACTTGCAGCGCACATAGTTGCTTTAGCGCAGCGTACAACAATCAACCGACTAAGGGTTGTGTGTGTTGGCTCCGTTTGGAAGAGTTGGGAGATTTTAAAACCTGGATTTTTAAAGGAACTTGCGAGGAGACAGGTTTGTTGCTTTTTCAAATATAGAATTCAATGACATATTTTCTTCGTATGCGTTGCGTTATTCTATTGATTAATTATCTTAATTTGTTATTAATTAGACAAGAAATTGTTGCAAAATTCATTTTTGAAGACCTGTTACAAGAAAATCGTAATAGGTATACTTATTAACAATTAATTGTTGACTCATTATAGATATATATTTTTGAAACACACAATATAGCCCAAAAATATATATTTCCAGCTTACAACAGAACTCGAATTGGTGCGATTACGAGTCTCCAGTGCAATGGGTGCAGCCTGGTTGGCAGCTAAACATGTAGGCTACGATTTGCCTCGTGATGATTCGGCTTTCTGTTCTGTCTTCTATACGTATAATTCGGAAAATATTAATAGTACAAATGGTGTGAACGCTGTCAATGGTATACTAGGAAACGGTAATCACCAACATGAAAACGGCCACTGCAAGGTAAATAGTAACCATAATTGCAGCATTACAACAAGCGGAGAAGTTTGCAATGGCTATTGAACATATAATAATAACACCCAAGCACTTAAAATAGAATATATTTATGCTTTACGCTTACACAGTGTTATTAATGAACGAGGTTTAGCGTTGGAGTAAATTTACACTGAGACTGTACTTAGTATTTGTCAAACTTCATATTATTAAACAGAGACTTAGCAGAAGTTTACTTAGTATGAGGTTCTACGGAGGTTTACTCCTAGAAGTAAGTTAGCTTAATTTTATCGGTATAAAATGAATTTAGACTAATACTAAAATTTTAATTTTAGCATAAATTTGCTCTGACGCTAAACCTTGTTTATTAATAGCACTAATAGTGTTTATTTTGGAAATATTTTTATATATGATATCACAAAACACGTTATGGATACAATAAAATAAAACAATTGTTTGAGTATTTTTTTAGATGCAATATAAAAAACGTGTTTTGTTATTGTAAAATTACTTACGACGCGTAAAACTTTGTTGTTATCTTTGACAGCCGGCTGGGAAAATAACATCACGTTTGTAAGTATGTTTTATGTATATGAATAGATATGTAGGATAGATTATAATGTATGTAAATAAAAACCTTAGTTATAAGAATCTAGTCCCCATTTGTAACATACGTAAGATTGCAGTGCCAATCAATTTATAACTGACTATAATGATGGAATAGCAATTTTTACAAAATGTCTTTAGTGATGGTAATAAATATCTACATAAAGTACTAGAATATCTTCTATCGTAGAACTTTAAAAATATTTACTATACAGAGAAATTGTAAATAAATCATAGATAGTTCCTAAATTTATTTTATATAGTTCCATAAGTTATGATATAAAGTTGAACATATCAAGGGCCTACTATCTTTATATCTTAGTCAAGTTATCTTAGTGCATTGTGTTTTTGGTTTCAAATATAGTATAAAATTAATTGTATATTATGTTAGATTAAAAATGAATATGCGATTTTTGTGCGAATATTACGTACCTACATAATATGTTTATCGAAACAATGAATAAATATTGTAATAAATTATCGTAAACGTTTTATTCTTTTACAATATCCCCCAAAACAAAATGAAGAATGCATTAAACATACATTAAAAATATATCAAAAAAGTCTGTAATATGCAGTCAGTAAGTAATGAAATGCTGAGAAGGAATGCGAAAATAAATTAGATATCGTTTTCGAACTACATAAATAATCAAGTGAAAGGTAAATCAACTGAATGAATGAATGGATATAATATGCCAATCAATGCAGTCTAATCGTTGTGAGCTATAACGTTATAACGATAATATAACTGTTTTATACTACCATACTATTCATTCGTTCGCATTGCTCTGGTTTATGTCAATGTCAACTTGACACTCAACTGTAAGTAAACTAAAAATGTCTGTTGCAAAACGATTCCCTCGTATTTTTACTCAAATAAAACCATTCTTAAATAATAATTATAGATGTTGTAGTCATATACTCGCCATTCCTGACAGTGAAAACCAAAGGAAAAGTAATAGAAGCGCATATTTTAGTGCAATTGCTGTTGCGGCAGGTCTTTTAGGTTATATTAGTATAAAAGAGAAATTATTTGCTGCCACTGTTGTGAAAAACGATTTAAAAGGTAGACGAGAAAAATATAACTTTATCGCGGATGTTGTAGCAGTATCAGCGCCCTCGGTGGTTTATATAGAGATTAAAGACGGTAGAAGATTAGACCTGTTCAGCGGTCATCCTATTACACTTTCGAATGGATCTGGATTTATTGTTAAAGAAGATGGTTTGATTCTTACAAACGCCCATGTTGTGGTTAATAAACCCAACGCTGTTGTCAGTGTTCGGCTAATGGTAAGTTTTGACTGGAGTTGTATTAAAATTCCCTTAATTCATAAGCTTGTATGGTGAAATTTTATGGGCCGAGTTTTTTCAATTCATTGTCTCCGTGATAATTCGAAATCAGACTGCTATGTTCCTAAATTGAAATCACAATAAAAAAACGGTCATTATGTGTAAATACACATATACTTAAAAAAAAATACAGAATATAAGGTAATATAATACAGGAAAGATGAAAGAGTCCTGAAATTAAACTCCATTCATGTAATTGATGTAAATTTTTTAATTTTGTAATCACCACTAATTGTCTACTACCAATAATATGAAAGTAAAAATAATTAACAAAAAATAATTTAATATTAAAAACACTAGATGTTTTTTAACTTAGGTTAATGTTTATGAAATGAGTTTCAAAATCCTCTATAATCTTATCATGTAAAATTAGAAGTAAGTTCAATATATTTCCATCAATGTCATTAAATTAAGATTATTGTGCTGGTGAATAAAATTAAATTGATGCACATAGCTTGATTTATTGACATAAGGAGCTTTTTAAAATTATGCCTGTCACTTAGTGTGGATGTGTGCAGATTGTCTGCACCACACAGCAATGCTCTTAACAAGTGTTAAATGTTTTATTTGATTATTCACAGGATGGATCTACTCACACAGGTTTTGTTGAGGATGTAGATCTTAAGTCAGACTTAGCAACTCTTCGTATACCAGTTAAAGGATTGCCAATTATGAAGCTGGGCTCCTCCTCTGACATAAAACCTGGCGAGTGGGTACTGTATTTTGTTTACATGTATTTGTAAAACTATCAAATTATAGTAAATATATTGCAATGTTATCACTAAAAATAATCGCACAGTATGTTTGAAATAATTAAACTTAAGTTTTGATTATAAAAACAAAAAATCTTGTTTATTGTAAGTTAAGCTGTAAGTTAGTTATATTATAAGTATTACTCATATGAATCAACATGACACTTGAAGGCTTATTCTTTTTCCCCTGAAAATGAAATATCATTTACTTTCGATATGCTAATACAACTCCAAAGAAACGCATTTATCGATAATTTATGTTGCAACAAACTTAGGACCTAGCATTGCCTCTGATGCACAGATAACCTTCACGGATATGATGAAAAAATAAAATAGGTCCTCAGGTGTACTAGTGTGTAATAATACTATTACTATCAGTTTTAATAACATTTATGCGTTGATTACATTTGTTTCCTCAATTATTATTTTGAAATTATAAGAAATTTATAATGTTACAGGTAGTTGCAATGGGCAGTCCTCTGGCACTGAGCAATACAGTTACTGCAGGGGTAGTTAGTTCAACACAGAGAGCAAGTGAAGAACTTGGATTGAGAGGTAAAATAATTCAACTTGATTTATTAGTCTGGTTAAAAAAAAATTACAGCTAATATAATGTCAAAAATGGAATATTTGTATTATTTTAATATATACTTTGCCTGATTATGTTCAATAAACTATATTTTCCAGGTAAAGACATGGTATATATACAAACAGATGCACCTATTACTTTTGGCAATAGTGGCGGGCCCCTGGTCAATTTGGATGGAGAAGCAATCGGTATAAACAGTATGAAAGTCACATCAGGGATATCATTTGCTATACCCATAGATTACGTCAAAGAATTCCTGGAAAAACGTGAGTTAATAATTAATTAATTATAATCAATGAATTAACCCATCATCATCAATTCATTGATTAATCATGATGATGATGATGATGGGTTGCAGGCCATCCCTATAGATGAAATCGAATTTGCAGTAACCCACCACGGCCATTGCCGTATCATGGAGGGGGAGGAATAATTTTTTGATCATCCATACTATGACCGGCGCTTGTAAAAGTTACTTAACTTTTGTCTTAAATTTAAAAAAAACGTGGTTATTCCTTTGTGTGAATGGTGTTGTATGTGGCTATCAGTGATACAAATGCAATTTATATGTATGCAGTTTCATTTGCACGACTGATAGCCATTTAGACCGTACACGGTGATACTCATTGTGTGTTATTAAATTATAATCCTTATTCTCATGCAGGAAAAACGAAATCGCCCCAAGTGTCGAGGCGGTACCTGGGAATCACTATGTTGTCTTTGTCACCCAATATTCTTATGGAGCTGCGAATGAGAAATCCAGAGGTAATTTTTAGTACATTTCCTTCTAAACAAAGGTAGCTCTATATTTCAAAAGCTTTATTATAATCATTATAATGGTGAGGGTGTAAAAGTTTTATTACCCGACTGCGCGATTCAAAGGAGTGTAATGTGTCTATCAGTCTATGTATGTATGTATGTTTGTTTCTATGTGGCATTTTAGAGACCAAATGCGTAGGCCGATTTTGATGATTCTTACGTCAATCGATTCGTCTTAACCTTGCGAGTGTCATTAAAGACATGACAGTAATTAAAATTTACCACAACGACAACTAGACGCCATATTGTCAAAATGAAAAAAAAATCGATGAACTATGTCAAGTGGGGTGTTGTTGAATAGGTATTTTAAAATCATCTTTAGGTTCCTTTTATCATTTTTCATTTTAAATAATAGTTTAGGATATATTACTATTTAAAGTTGTTTAACAAAATAATTATTCACGCTAATTTTATTACTTATTGATTTAAGTTTTTATTTAAAGTATAAACGATATAAAAACAAAAAAACAGTGAAAAGAGCATTAAATCAAATATTTTTGGTAAAAAATAAAACATATGTAGCTTTGAGCCAAGTTAGGTCTCTAGAGGGACTAATCACCACCGCTAGTTACTTAATAATCCCCACGATATTAATTCCCTCAATGAAATGACTAGATTGCGAAATTTACCATCCTATAACGAAGTCAACGAATCGTAACTAAAAAGTATTAAATAAAAATAAATAATTTAAAGAAAAACAGAAAACTTGACTGCGTAAAAACGAATTTTAAAAAATACATGAAAAAATAATCCTAAATAAAAACTAAAAAGAAAGAAACAAGTCCAGTAGTTTAGAATTCTGATAAGTAATACAGAGCAGAACTACTCATAGTCGGGGCCCCTTGGGAAGATTTGATTGGTAAAATTTGAATTTGAATTCTTTCTTTTTAGTTTTTATTCAAGTTCATTAATCATGTATTTTTTTTAAATCGTTTACGAAGTCGAGTTTTTTGTTTTCCTTTTTTTAATTAAAACAAATTTACTTTATGTAGATTATTTCAGTCTTACACATGCTTAAGTTTATTATTTATTGCAAATATTAAGAAAAAAAAAAAAAAAATCACAAAACGTTAACATTACTTGTATTAATATATAAATAGGGCGATATTAAAATTTTTGCCAACCAAAAACATAAAATATTCATTTATATAATCACTTCAAGTGCCACTTCACTGCGACCGCGTAAATTACGAGTATAACCTATGTCACGGTCCGGTAGTTTCGGAGCATATTTATTGCAAACAAACAAATTTTTCATCTTTATAATATTACTATAAATAATAAGTAAAAAACGAGCTTATTTAAGTTTGAAGTCTTATTTTGTGCTCCGAAATGAATAAGAGATATGATATATACATGAGAACAAAATAACTTACAGATGCCCAGAGATATAGAACATGGTATCTTAGTATGGAAAGTGATCATCGGCTCTCCTGCTTATAAGTGAGTATAATTAGTGGTCCAATAATTATGCAGATATTTTGTACAGGCAATTTTGAACCTTATGATTTTTACTTTATACCTATTAATATTTGATTGTAATGTAAACCTGAAATCATGGAATGCACAATGGCATGTAAATGTTAGAGATAGTCGTATGCGAGGGGAATATTTAGTATTATTATTTATTGTTGTAAGGGGCTATGCAGTTCCCCGAGGAACTGTAGTCACTGCGACCTTGAAGATCTATTGTGACTCGCCGCCAGAGCTATAGTAACTCCTTTAGCCCGGTAGACTTCAAAAAGTCTATAATATTCCTGGCTTTTTAGAGATTTTATGTTCTGAGCTGATTATATGTCGTCCCAGATGTATGCTTCGTTTATGGATCAGTGGTCCACATTCACAAAGGAGATGTTTTGGTGTTTCACGTTCCCCTTTGCAATATCTGCAAATGTCATTGTCGCTTAGTTTCGTGTTAAATAGGTGCCTGTTTTTGGTATTTGCAGTGTCCCGTTAAGGTTCGTACAATTGTACTTATATTTGCTCTGTTTAGCTTCAAGAGCTCTTCAGCTCGTTTTTGTGAATGACCTTCAATTAGGAATTTAGCGTGATTTAATCCCTGCTGTCTTTGCCAGTATTTTTTTGAATCCCTTTGTAGGTCGTTCTTAAGAATTGCATCATATTGTTTTTTTGTGAAACCACAAAAGGACTCTGGTCCTATTTGTAGTCCCTGTGCTCCAGCCCTTGTTAATTCATCCGCTTTCTCATTGTCGATGATGATGCCCGAGTGTCCTGATACCCATTTAAGAATAATTTTATTCTTTTGCCCAGTTCATTCAATCTGTCTATACAGTCCTTTACCAGTTTCATTGAGTATGGCATTGAGTGCTGTTTGACTATCAGAGTATATGTAAATGGTTTAATTTTTGTAGTTTTGTTGGCGATTAGCTTCCACAGATTCTAAAATGGGGTATACTTCAGCTTGGAAAATAGCAGCGTTTATCCCAAGATTCACACTTTTGTTGAATTTCGGTGTCAAATCATATACTCTACATCCTAAATTATGACCCATTTTGGAGCCATCTGTGAACCAGACTAGGCTTCCTGTTTTGCAGAGTTCGTGTGCCTCTGACCATTCCTCTCTGCTCGGAGTCTCAACTGAGTAATTTCTTTCAAGGTTACATAGCAGAGTCATGACGTCTGTGGTCATTGCTAGATGTGTGTTCTCAAGGACTGTTTGATATAAAGATCTCAGTGCTTTAGAATGCCAGTTCTTTTGACCAGTAACTCCTACTCTATATATGCTAGCTTTCGCCTCTTTCATTATAAATAAATGTAGAGGTGGTAAATTAAGCAGGGAATACAGAGCGGCTCCTGGAGTGGTAGACATGGCACCGCCGGTTGCCACGAGGCATGCTGTTCCTTGCAAGCTATTCAGTTTGTTAATTAATGTAGCTGGTGTTGCTTTTTTCCATCATACGATGCTGGCATATGTCACCGTTGGCCTTACAATGGCGGTGTACATCCATAGGGCTATTTTGGGATTTATTCCCCATTTTGCCCCAGTTACTCGACATCATATACCTAAGGCTGTTTTAGCCTTTTGGGTTATGTTGTTTATATGGCGCGTCCACGTGGATTTTTGGTCAAATGTGACGCCCAGGTATTTGACTTACTTGGAGTACGATATAACGATCCCTTTTAAGATAAGCGTTTTAAGGTTTTCCAACTTTCGCTTTCTGGTAAAAGGGACTATTGTTGTTTTATTCGGATTTACGAATAGGTTATTCTCTGTGCGCGGGGAGTAGCGTAATCAAATAACGGCAATGACCTCTCTATTCGAGAATTGGTAGTCCTTTTAAAATATATTGACCAATACTTTGACATTGTTAAGTATAAGTGAAATTGCTCGAAAGTAAAGATGTTACGAATGCTATCTATCAGTTTATTCGGAGCTAAATAACTGAAAATATAATAATAAATATGGTTTATACATAAGGTTTCTTAAGTGAATAACATATATTGATTAAGTTAAGGTGGGTACGCTTTCTGTCCTTATCGTTCAAATGATCCCTTCTCAGACTACCTGGGGCAAGTGGATTATTAAGATTTTTTTATTAAGAATATTAGCATTGTGAATGCAAAATTGAACAAAATATAATAAACTAATTTATTCAAACTCCATAGCTTGTATTAGTGCGATAAAATAAATCACGAATTTGCCCTAGTGCGCAAAAGAAATGAAAAATTACTTAATACTTTCTATTCATCAGTGATAATTGTTGACTGATATCCCCTTAAGCAACTATCACATACAAATATTCTAATAAGAAAATATAAGTTGGCAACACATAATCAATACCGGTGTAGACAGTAGACGAAAATAAATTATATATTATTTATTTTTTTCTGGTAGTGTTTAATATATTACCGATGATAATCACACTTTTATGCTTATTATATTTATAATATTGCTTAAATTAATCATAAAAATAATTATACTCGTTACGTGACCGCAAACAGCGCGTGACGTCACGCCCCTCTTACTCATATCAGTTCTTAGAAAATCAACTTTATGCATACTTATAAAGATATTAGTTTCAGAGTGCTGTGAGGTCAGCGCCGTAACAGATATTGAATATTTTGTTTTCATTCTTAATGAAAAATGGTTAAAAATCCACTAGATTTAGCTAATTACGACCTTTGGCAGTCCGGGCGACTGCTCTAACCACCGAGCTACCCAGGACCTAACAAGACTGATGAAATTTTCAAGCACTTGTTACTTTTCGTTACTAGTTACCGTATTTTCATCGATGTTCAGGCAATCGACCCAAACAGTTGAAAAAAATATTTTATACTTTCGATTGAGATGAAAATTTGTTCTTATTATTATATTTTATTTGATGAAAAATTAACTGTACAAAATCGTTAAATGCGGCTTAATTATTTTTATGAATATTATGAATAATATAATTGGGGTATCTCTCTTACAGTGGTGGTTTGCAGCCAGGTGATATAGTGACCAGTATTAATGGGTCTCCGGTTCACAGTGCCACGGATATATACACGTTACTGGAGAAGAGCAGCGGTAGTCTGAAAATAGACGTTGTTAGAGGGAGAGAGAGGATCACACTGACTATAGTACCTGAATACCATGGATAAATTGGTTTCAAGGAAAGGTTTCTTAATTTTCATTTTGATTATTCACGATTAGAAACAGTGATAGAATAGGTGCAGTTATTTTGTGTCGATGACATTAATGGCAACTAATCAGAGCAGTATGTCAGCTGATATTATGATATTATAATAAAAAGGTAGATCGGATTTTTTGCGTTCGAAAATAAGCATTATAAAATTAAGCTTATTAGCTCACCCGAGAGCAGTCTTGCGAAAACGTTGGCAGTGTTGGCTTGGGGCCGTTTTTATGAGATAATAATTTAAAATATGCTGTTCTCTGTCACACGAAATTAAGGAAAGTCCCCAAGTGAATTCAATGAATTCAACTAACAGCCGGTTCCTGTAATTACATTTTAAAGTTGTGCATGTCTCAAACCGTACTTAAACGTCTCTTAAACAGGTTTTTGTGTCTGATTTGATCAGTTGATAGCAGTTTGATAAAACTAGGACTTTTTATCATGTAAAACGCAAAGAAATAAGTAATTGAGAATAATCACTTGAGATTTTGAACTTTATTTAATTAAAAAATTGGCCGTAAATTTCACAATATTGCATCATAAACATATCAAGCGAGACAGATGCGGTGTTACATATTTTGTCTTGTTTACCCTCTTGCTATCTTGCTCACTCATTTCAACACGGACAAAATAACTCACATACGACGTATGAAGCCGTGGACTCGAGATGCCGAGTTACCTCGACCGATTGCCATCATATTATTGGCGTTTTTATTGTCATATCATTACGTGAAACTTACAGTCACCACTCTGAAAAGCTAAAAGTAGATAGTGCTGGTTAGATTGGAGGTTATGCCAGTTGTCATTTGGTTGATCCTTTGTGACAATAATTTTATATGTGAAAGGTAAATTGTAAATAATACCAATTCATTTGATCTTTATATATATATATATATATATTTGCGACCCAATATCTAATATTGGATACAACTACAATTGATATTAAAATACTACACGTGCTAAATAACATGACCCCTGACTAGAACGACGGCTGTGAAAAGTACAACGTCCTAAAAATTTGTCACTTCGAATATTTTTTTTTTTTCTGGAAATAGGGATGATGACTGGGTAAAAAAAATGCAATTCGATTTAGTCCGTCAGTCAGATAATAGAAAAATATTAGATACGTATTTTTTTTTACTTCAATTTAACAAGAAATAGCTTAGATAACTGGCATTATAGTTGAGAAGTGGGGGCTCGCTACGTCACAGTTGAGTAGAAAACGTACCCTAACATGACGTCATGCGAAATTTCAACTCCATGTAACGCCGTAATTTTATGATTACGAAAAAAATAAAAAAATACGTGTTTAATATTTTTTAACACTCTACCTGACGGACAAACAAACAAAAATTAGTCATCATCCCTATTGTATTTTTTATGTTCGCATTATAATAAAGCTATATTTTCTTTGACCTTGTCTTTTACAAACTGTGAATGAGAAGTAGAACAATACTATCCCTAAAATACATTCGTTTTCAATGAATGTAGAACAATATATATTTTTTTTTATTAGTTTATTCAGTCTAGGCTGTTGCTTGTGAAAGTCATAAATAATATGACATTAGTTAACAATTTATGGTAAAACCCTTTTTATCTCTGTTTGATTTTACAGAGCGATAATTTAAAAATGACTACGTAAGCTTTCCACATTATGGAAGGGAAACCTCACATTTTGTCAATATTAATTTGTTGTTCACAGCTATAAGATATGAAAGGAAATCAATTTATTTTAACTGCGTTCAGTTATGGTGTGTTATATTTTTGTTAGTCTTAAATGATGTTATTTGGATAATGTTGTTTTTATGCAATTATATTTTGTTAGTAGTTATAAGTTAGTACATTGTTTAATAAAATATACTTTTTAATTATGGCGATTTTATTAAATAAATAAGATCCCGATAACGATTATAATATTCCAATGTTATAGTAAGACAAATACCACATTTTTAATGATAAATATGTACGTCAAGGTGTCTTCGATTTCGACAATAAATACTAATAGGACATCTCATATATTGCTCGAATCCTAAATAAAGTAGCTGAAACACTTCTATCATGCCAATATAAAACAACGAAGGTTCTATAACACCCAGACCCGAGATAATATGGTGGGGTAGAGATGTCACACACCTGATGACCCATCATCAGCGATGGTGGCTTGAAGACGACGCGGTAAACGGTCGGTAGATAGTCAATGACGTAACTCCTCTCTTATGGATGATCTGGAGTATATTGTACAGTATTATAAAAATATTATATAATTTTATCACTTAATTTATATGATGCGGCATATTATTAGATAAACATATTATCTCTTAATGTAATCTTCTAAGTAATGGATATTGACTTCATATTCTAATGAATTCACTTTTTAATTTTAATTAGACTTCTCTGTGTGAAATAAACTAGGGAGAAAAAAGCAGCCCCTGCTGAGTTTCTTGCCGGTTCATCTCAGTACAAGGTATCTCGCCGTAGATTTGCCAGCTTATTGCATATTTTTCGATATTTACAATATATGAATATTCATATAATACGAGTATGTTGAATTCGAAAGTGGCAGATGCACAGGGCAGACGATTGACAGCCCCTTTCAATTTATTTGGTTGTAACACTTTTGTATAAATCCATTTAAAAATAATTCAAAGAAGTCAATCCTTTTTCGGGTTCCGTGCCCAAAGCCCTATTATTAAGACTCCGCTGTCCGCCTGTCTGTCTGTCCGTCCATCGGTCTGTCTTCTGGCTAAATCTCATGAACCGTGATAGTTAGGTATGTATTTCTGTTGCCGCTACAACAACAAATATAAAAAATAAATATTTTATTATATTTTGATACAACAACGTGGTTTTTTGGGTTTTTTATGAATAACGCTACGGAACCCTACGTGCGTAAGTCCGACTCGCACTTACACTGTTTTTTAAAAATTGTAGTGTGATTAGAAAACTTGGAAAATAATGTTTGTAAGAGATCATGCATCAATCCGATTTAATTACTCTATGGCGAATCAATTACATACTTAGTAAGTAGTGATTATACCTATGTAATTATTTTTGAGTTTTTTGTTTCTTCAGAATATCAGTGTGTTTTTTTGTTTGTTTAGAATGTGAAAATGTTTTATAGAAATATTTTGTGGTTATTTTACGTAAGTACAATATTTGGAAATTACGTAATTCTCTATCTGGTCGATTATGATTTGAGCCGACTTCAAAAAGGAGGACGTTCCACGTTTCTATTTGTGTTTATTAGAAAGGCGTTAAATAGCTCTGAGGTGTTACCATAAAATTGTCAAAATCGGTTCAGCAGTTTTGTATAAAGTATGGAAACAACTGTGAGGAAATATAACCTCAACACTTATGTTTACAATTGGCTTGCTGTTTTTTTTACATTAAAACATTACTTTTTTATGGGTAGATAATTTAAAAAAAAAATTACCAGAATAAAATAAACTTATCTAATTTTTATCAACAAGTAACTTCTCTTAAAATTGGTGGTTTAATACTCGCATTTCAACAACTTCTGCTGAAGTTGGGTGGTTAATATCAATAACATACTAATTCACAGGCTGTACAACTTGCTTTTGGATTTAATCGACATGCTTTTGCATCGAGTAAGTCAATAGTTAACTCTTAATAAAATACTATATCGTATGTACAGTCAATAGCAACGCAGGCTATACTAAACACAAATTTCTCCAAATGAATTAAAACCTTGTTTTGTTGAATGTTCGGAGTTCACAGAGCTCGATGGCCCTGTGGAAGCAACTTTCGCAATGGCCGATCATAGGATGGGTGACCCAAAATAACATTAAACCGCTGGTCCCGGCTGCATCTGCAGTCATTAATACCCACTAATCCGCACTGGTCACGCGTGGTGGATCATGGTCAATTCTCCTTATTCGATTTGATTCAGATTTGATTTGAAAGCCTGAGCACCAGCAGTGGGACATCCATAGACTGGTGATGGTGACGATGATCTTGAAAGTAAAGTATTAAATCATTTGCGGAAATTTGACATATTGTAGTAGTTTGATGTACAGTCCTGTGTACACTGAACAGCAGATCGTACCATACATAGAGAATTAGAGACCTATACCTACAACAATGCACAATTTTTTTTTTGTAATGATGTTACTGACAGAGTTTATTAATTAATTAAAACAAAAGTACCTACGAGTATATTAAATTATAGGTTTCAAAATAAATACTAACTTCGATTAAATTTATAAAGGCTGGAATGGTGACAGTAAACCATTACTTCGAGTGCTCACCCAGTCAGGTATGTAAATTAATATAAGTAGACAAACATATGAAATAAATATACGTATTTTTTTATTTCAATATTGTTTTTTTTCCTCTTTATATAAATACATTATAAACAGGAAATATTCCTAGTCTTTTCAATGCAAACAAAAACAATATTTTAGTTGGCATTGAAAAGGCTACGAAGATAACTCTTTTAATTATGGGAAGCCACATGATACATAGTCTATTGTCTAAATAGCATAAAGAAAAAATAACAAATACCAAAGACTAAAAATAAAAGTAAAAGTGCTGTTTCCGCCCGGGATCGAACCGGGGGCCTTGTGCGTGTGAAGCACACGTGATAACCGCTACACTACGGAAACTTACCATCGAAGGCTGAAATTATTTATTATAAATAGAAACCTATATGTATTGACTTTTGAATTACTAGCTTTACGGACAAACAAAGAAACGTTCACATTTATACTATTAATATGATTTTATCGAAACTCTATGCTGTGACAACGCTGTCCTCGGAGTGGTTCATCGCTGATTTTATTACAGGTTTATTTTCTTATAGGTATGGTAGACACCTAATAGGTATTATTCTAGTGTCATACACGGGTATTCGCAAGATTGTAAACGTGTTTTTATTGGTTCTATTTAGCGAACAGGCAAATATTATATAATCCAGTAATGTTTTGTGTGTACCTATAAGTTTCTTGCGAATAGCCAGTGAAGTGTCGTCTTATTATTTAATTTCATAACCCAATAGATCTTTGGGACGACTCAGAAGGAGTTGGGAATTGGAAAGAAGAGCTAAGCACTAAGATATTAAGTATTGTCGACGACTTAGGCAGTGAAAGGGCAAGTCCGTATATAAAAAAACTCGTTGAAGGTTAGTGCCTATCTAGTATTTTAAATAGAAACTATTCTAAAATAGAAATATTACAACAGTGCGCAGACGCTCGAAGAACTCGCCATAGCTTTTTATCAAAATAAAAACGAGCCACGCCCTAATGATTTTTAATGCCCTAAAAAATTTAGGGTTAGTGTATGTATGCGAGTATATATATTCTATTGCAACTTCTGAAAGACATGAATGCATCATTAGAAATGTATCAAACTCGATATCTCCACGAGTCATAAAATTAAGGGTTTTAATAATAATGGAATTAAATTTATAATTTTTAAAATTCAATAGTTATTCTTCGGTGGAGCAATCAAATTAGGATAGGTCGATTTAGGTTCCTTTGGCACCTAAGTTAAATAATAAGTTTTTGCAAAAATTTACTTAGAGTGGGATTGCACTGAATTAAAATCATACCCTAGGCAAAACACCGAAATGAAGTCCATAAAATAATTATAACAAAATAAAAGACTAACGATGTTACAACGTTTAAAGAGTGTAATCTTGGCAAT